TAGCGTCCACGCAGAACTTCCCGCTGCCCAGGTCTTCAGAGATCTGCTCGGCAAGAAAGAACACCAAGCAAGGTCCAGAGGCATCCTGTGTGCCTCGGCTGCCGCACCCGGCCTCTGCCCAACCGGGGAGCTGGGGGCTCGGAGTAGGAGGGCGGGTCGGCCCCGGGCCTCAGCCGACCCTCTGGGCGTCTGCGAGGCCCTTGGTCCCCCGGCCCCCCATGCCCAGGAGCCTCCGACGACGCGGAGGCAGGAGGGCTGCCCTGTCTCTTCTCACCGAGCAGATCACTGCCCTGGCCCGGTCATAAAAGTGCCACCAGCACTGTGAAAACTCCCCAGCGAGCAGCCCCACGTGGGAGGAAGCAGAGGCCACGGTGTCTGAGAGCAGAGCCCTCTGTGGGAGCGGTGGGCGTGGGCTGGAGACTGACGGTCCTGAAGGTGAAGGTGTGGCTGGGGTGGGGCGGCCCGTGCATCTGGGGGTGTGTGTGCCTGTGCGTGCGCCTGTGTGCACCGGCGTGCCTGTGTGTGCTCACAGCGGTGTGCACGTCACCCTGCAAGAGGGAAAGCCACTTTGTTTTCTTCAAAGTGGAAGCTTCCCTTTGCCGCTGGGGGCCTGCAGACGCCTGGCCTCACAGCCCGACTGCGTCAGGACCTGGGCTGTCACTGCTGCTTTCTGAACGCACTTCCCACGGGCTGGGAGCGTCTCAGGCGTGCGCACCTCTGACTGGGTCGTTTACCAGAATACCTGACTGCTGTCCCCTGCTGACAGAGGGGCTCCCCAAGCCGGCCAGGGCCCTGAGGGAGAGGCTGCAGGCAGCGCCTGCTCAGGGGCCAGGATCCAGAGCCGTGGAGGCCAGCAGCATCTCGGGCCAGCGTGCTGGGCAGCTCAGCCCTGGCGCCAAGTGGGTGGGGGGCTGAGGCCTGGGAGTAGGAAGTAGGTGTCCTGATGGGCCCGGGGGTCCAGGTGGGCAGGTGTGCTCAGGTGAGCCATAGTGTCCTGGAGGGCAGGTAGGTCTAGGCGTGCAAGCGTGTCCAGCTTGGCAGGTGTATCCCAGTGGGCAGGGGACCCAGGTGGGAGGGCTGGTGGGAGCAGGGTGTCAGGAGGGACCAGGGAAATCTGGTCAGGGGTTGTGACCTGTCCTACCACAAACAGAGGTGGCCGACTCCAGGTGCCACGGCCCCTGCCCTCTGGAGGATCTCCCAAGTGCGCCTGATGAACAGTAAGGACCTGGGAAGGGAAGGCGGCTGCCCCATGAGGCTGGGAGAAGCCCACTTCTGGCCAGAGAATCAGGAAGCTGTGTGAACAGTCCTGGTGCCTCCCAAACGTCTGGGGACACTTTCTAAATGGCCGAGGGTTCCGCCCGGCCTGCAAGTCAGCAAGGAAAGGGAGGTTTGGGGCAGCAGCTGATTTGTGGTGGGAGACACAGAGTCTGCCTCTCTTCTTTCTGGCATCCACGCCCCGTGGCCACTCTGGGGGGGTGCTCCAGAGCCAGCCTGGACGGGGCTGCGACCAGGAGGCCTCAGTCCTGGGGATTCTCCGCTCTGCGGGACTTTAACCACATGGGCCTAATTCTGGAAGAAAGGAGAGACCAGAGGGCCTGGGACAGACTCCCAGCCCTCAGCTGCCTCAGGTGCCAGAGGGTGAAGGGGGCACGGCCCGGTCTTGCCACACCAGGAGGCCCCTGTGGGGGAGTGCAGGCCCCCACGGGAGAGGCCCCGCCAGGCACTAACGTCTCTCATCAGCCCCTCCTCTCACCTCCCACCCCAACTGCAGGAAACCCACAAAAAAGGCCCACCAAGCAAAGCTGCGGTCAGTGGCACCTCTGCTCGGTGAGGCACCCCGCCTCCCTCCATCACAGGGAGGAAGAGGGGCCGCTGGCCAAGGCCAGGGACCCCGACCCCCCCACTGGTGAGGGCCCCAGCTCCCTGCGCCCCCCAGCGTCTTTGCAGGTGGTGCGGCTGGGCTGGGGGCTGGCAGTCTCTCTGACTCTGTCGTCTCTGTCTTTGCTTGCACGTGTCTCCCAGCCCCTGGTCCAGTCTGGTCCAGTCTGGGACTCGTGGAGACTGTAAGTGATGCTGTGAGTTGCCACAGTCAGCACGTGGGTGCCCCGCTTCCCCTGTCGCCCCAGGGAGCGTGCTTGGCCCTTAGGTCCTTAAAGGACCTGTCCTGGGGCAGCTGGGGAGGCGCGCCAGGGAAAGCGCAGGAGGCCGGGGGCAGTGACGGCCTGGTGCCTCTCGTTTCTGGAAGATTCCAGGCTCATCCCACCTGAGCCCTCCCCTGATGTCTGCGGGCAAGTCCACACTGCTGTTTGCACACCTACGGGCACACCAGGCCCCCTGCAGCCCCCCAGACAGGCCTGGTCCATCCCGCTGCATGGCTGGGAGTAACTTTGGCACGGACAGACCCTCCCCCTTAAATGTGCCCTCTTGGCCCTCCCAGGACAGGTCTCTGTCCTCCACAGGATGCCCTGCAGGTGTTTGGACACGGCCCACTTTCTTCTCACCCTGCCCTGGACCGCGGCCAACATCTCCAGGCCTCTCAAGTGCGAGTGAACGTGGACACGGCAGGTTGCTCATCCACCTGGGACACTGAGCTGGGGCTTCCAGACTGTCCCCATCCCTCTCGGGTGCAGGGCCTGGGGCTCAGAGGGAACAACTCCTGCAGGACCCCCTGCCTAGCTCCCGGTGTGCGCCTTCTCCTGGAGAGTGTCCCTCCTCCTCAACCCAGAGGACCTGGCCCCCAGCCCCTGGCCGTTTGGACCATCACAGGGTAGCTGTTACTTCCTGGTGGCCCCCCGAGGGTTGGGGAATCCCTCCCCCCTCACGGGCCCCCTGACCTGCTTTCTGGGGAGATGCAGGAGTCTCCATGACCTCCTTCCTTCCACAGGGACTAAAACTCTGCCTCTGAGAGGGATTAAGTGAACTGCCTCCAAGGACGGCCCAAGGAGCCTCGGCCTTGGGGCCCTGCACCAGTGAGGAAGGGCCAGGTGGGCAGCGGGGGCCTCACCCCGGTGCCAGGACCACGTCTCTCTCTTGTCTCCACGTGGAGAGTCCAGCCCTGTGGGGCGCCCCTGGGTGCATCTGGACGATGGAGCAGGAGGCACAGGAGCCCAGCGGGAACTCTGGAAGCTGCCGCCCTTCTGCTTCAGGCCAGGGAGGTGCTCCCAGGAGCAGCCTGAGCCCATGCCTCGGTGGGCAGGGTGCCGCAGGCCTGGCTTCTTGTCTGGGGTGGGGGTGGGCTGTGCCATTTCTGACTCCAGAAGGGAAGACATGGGCTACAGCATTGGTCTCCCCCTGGTGCTCTTTCTAGGATCTCCGTGGTGGCCAAGCTGGGGCCTCTGGGGTGCTCACACCGGGAGCCGCGTGGGCTCAGGTCTCTCTCTGCTCCAGTCCTGCCTCTTACACATCACTGCAGGCCTCCAGACAGGGGCTGTTCTTGCTCATGTTACAGGACAGGAGACGGAGGAGCAGGGCTGCTCTGAGCCCAGGCACCCCGCACGCAGTCTGGAGCCAGGTCAAGGACCTGCTCTGAGAACCGCAGAGTCGGCGTGCTCCGGAATCCAGAAAGTGGGCCTGGGCAGCCCCAGGCCCCTTTCCTGCCTCTTTTGGGATGAGGCGCTCCAGGGCCCATGAGGACAGGTCAGGGCCCTGCCCGGGTGCAGGATGGATGAATGCATGAGCCCAGGAGGGATGGCGAGGGAAAGAGCTGGCCCTGCTCCCCGCGTCTCCTAGGGCGGCTGTAGCAGGTAGTGGCCTGGAGGCTGCTGTGGCCTCGGGGCTGGGCCTCTCTGCAGATTTGAAGTCCACCTCCCCCAGCCCTCCACCTGATCACACGCCAAAGCCTGGCTCGGGGCTGTCTGGGGCCGAGCCTCGGGGGTCCCAGAGCCTTCAAAGGAAGCTGCCCTCCTGCCCCTCTCCCCATGTGGCCGTCCAGGCCCCCCCACCCCACCCCAGCTCATAAATCACCCCCACCAGCAGTGCCGAGGGATGGAAGAATTCTCTTAGCCTCGACAATTTCTTCTGCACATCATTTGAGGTTTCCTGCACTTCGCGCTTGTGGGCTCCCGGCCGGGCTGTCCTCTCGTGTTTAGTGGGCCCGGCCCGCCCCGGCCCGTCCGGGGTGCGCGCATGGCCAGCAATGGCGGCGCACCTGTCGCCAGTGGGTTCCGAGCCCGCAGGAAGGAGCCGCCCGGGGTCTGCCCCGCTGGCCCCGCGTCCTGTGGCTGCGACTTGGCTCCGCGGAAGCCCGGGCACGGGGGAGGGGCTCGTCCTTCCCACCCTGACCCCTTCTTTAATCGCCCACGAGCTGTTCAGAGCCGCCAGCCAGCCACCAAGCTGCGCGGGGCTCTCCTGCCCGCCGGCACCCGCACGCACACGTCGTGGTTACGACTTAAGGCGTCCACGAGCCACTGGAACAGAAAGCCCATTCTTGTGATGGAAGGAGGTGGGGGAAAGGCATTCTGGAAACACCTCTGCCGGTGCGGCCCCGGAGCCTGGGTGAGCTCGTAAATCCTCCGTCCTGACTCTCATTACGGGACTCGGTGCTGAGATGACCGAGCACTAACGAGAAATGCGGCCGGCGGGACGGGGTCGCACGGCTGCCCAGCAGACAGGAGGTCTGGCAGACGGGTTACGGGTTACCAGCCTGGGGCCCTACTGCTCGGCTGAGAGGAAGGTGGGGGAGGGGAGGGGAGGGGAGGAGGGGAGGGAGGGAGGGAGCTACTTCGAGGAAGAGCAGGTAACTCATGCAAGCTGTTCCTCCAAGATGGAGGCCAGCGGTCTCTGAAGCTCGCGAGGGCAGAGAGGACCGAGAGAACCAGTATCTCCTGGGGCTTGTGCCTGGGAGGAGCTGCTTGGGGCTCCCGGACAGCGCTGTTGACCATGGCCTCCTGGGGACATGTCCAGGGCAGTTGTGTGTGTATCGTGGGGGACAAAGCCCAGGGTCCCTTGGTCTCAGAGACTCAAGAACACGGCCCAGGATGGGGATTCTGCAAAGGAAGCGGGTGCCTGACAGGGGAGACTGACGGCATCCCTGCCTGGGGCCGC